CTCTATGATCCATTGAACAAGAGACTGCTCTTCGACAGCTGATAGCTTGCGATTGACGGAGGCTGTCTCTGATCGTGGCTTGGTACCGCGGAGGCGTCGTCGGAGCGTTGTTCGTGGAGCGTCGTATAGCATAGCAGCTTGGCGCTGGCTTACAACACGTTTTTCTTGAAGCGCGCGAGATGCTAGAAGAACTCTACCTTCACGAGAAGTCTGTACAGAGCGTTGTTGTCGCGGCATAGTGGTGGTTGTGGAGAGTATCGCGTCAGGTTTGGTGGGGTGGGCCACTTACTGATGTGGGCCGCTTACTGATAAAACACGTTAGCACAGGGACGTTTCACGGCAAACCCTCGCCGAGCAGCAAGACGTTACCGCAATCTGCAAATCCCAATCCTGCCTCTCTCGGAAGAACCGAGCCTGCACCTCTGCGTCATAAGGAAGCCTCTTGGCGTAAAAACATGTCCATCTGTGGGCGCCCACACACCCTGATGCTCGGGACATGCTTCTGCCCACCCATCGTCTCTAGCGGGCGCCTGCCCATGAGCTAAACGTGCCGACTTCCGGATGACTCAGCGCCCTCGCTCACATACATGGCCCCCCCCCCTTTCCATCTTACTCGTCTCGAGTCGTGCAATGCACGTCTAGGACACCATGTGCCAAGATGTGCCATGTATCCATGACATTGGCCGCCCGTCTAGCCACACCCACTAGCCACACCCACTAGCCACACCCACTAGCCACGCAAGGCACGCCCGACGCGTAATAACATCCTGCTATATATGTATACCTGCTCGCCCGCCCAGTCCTTTGCGCGCTGGAGCCATGCTCGTTCCGGTGTGGCGCATGCTGGGGCCTTGGTCCTGTGCCGCATCAGATGAAGCGTGGCTGAATGCCTCTTTCGGCGCATGATGCCAAGGGGTAAAAATGCCAGGGGCTGACGACCTGCCTGCATTTTGTTGTGGCGCATGACACGACTTGGCTGTGGCAGCTCCGCGGCCTTGACAATCACCACCACCACCACAACCACGTGGCTAGTCGACCACGCCCATTCAAAATTCCCATCTTATTGTGCTCGGGGTACACTATGTATTCTTCTTCGAATAATTATAATCGCATTTGTAGTCGTTTGCTCCCATGTGCTGCCCATCGCCCTCTTCAGGTAAACGGCCCCAATCTGATGCCATTATTGATTTTGCCTGCGATCAGACTGCCACATGTCACGTGGACTGCAGATCCCGCATGCTGCCCGCGATCGACAACGCAGGCAGAATACCGATTGAAAAAGTTTGTGCTCGACGATCGGTGCACAGAGTGACAAGGCACGCAGTCTTCACCGCCAAATTTTTTTTTCCCTTTGCGTGCTCCGTACATGTGTTCGATATCATCAAGGTCCGGACCAAAACCCGCGATCCATCTTGGCATGGCATGAGCTCTTCAGTCGCCGCCTACGTCACAGTCCTATGAGGTGATTCCAGTCGTTGATTCCAGAATGCATAAATCAATGTTTGTGGAGCAGAATTCCGGGCCCGGATTCTGGAGACAGCCCCATGTTGTGTGTGGTCCATGTTTGGTTATGTCACGAGGCTGCAGTATCGTGCGAGTAGCGAGAAAACCCAACAAGACGACGGAAAATTCTAGATGCAGGAAAGCCAAGGGGTATGGCCATGGCCAACAATGTCCTCAGCAACCCGCATCTGGATGATCCTGCATCATGTGGCAGTGCTGCCAAGTCAATCTGGATTGTGTATTAGCGAATAGAGAGGGTAGAAAAATTGCCAACTGGGGTAGCAACAAGTTCAACACCACCACGCGGAGCTCCAAGCCGCCACTCAGAACATCGGACATTGGCACTAATTTCCGGACAAAGCATGACAAACATGTGAGAAATGCCAAGAGAGTGCTGATTTCATACTAACCTTGGTGGGGGTCTAGATGTCTGCCCCATAGCCTGATTTAACGACTTGGGAGTCGTGGTCGTGAGTCTGGTAGACTACTTACTGGGGCTGACACGCTAAACTCCATAACATCAGCTGTACAGTATCCTGTCGTGCCATCGTGGAAAGGTGGCAGCAACGATGCATGATTTTTATTCCAAACATTCCGATGAGTATGTCTAGAGTCCGCCACTCGGACGCTGCGGTGTAGATGGACAGCATTTTCATTGCTGAATTTTTATTCCTGTCGAACAACCCGCAATCGAAAATTCCAAGAGCAGGTGTAAGACCTTGGCGCCAATGAGACGCGCCTGGGTTATCATGCCCATTTTCTTATGTGCATATTGGCATGTTGAGTGGTGGTTCGTGGTCGACGTGTTGATGGAACCCGGTTGCGCAGCTGAGCCACTTCCTTGATAGTACGCGGGGTCTCGTCAAGGTTGCTATATCACCTAAGCATTGGCGTGGGTGCGAAGAGCGCTGGACGCACATGGTGGGGTCGTCGATCGTAGTAGTTACTTCAGTCTTGTCAGTCTTTAGAGCGGTTGGATGCAGTGAGCCGTACTCGGTTGTTGAAATGTCGCATTGTGACCGAAGAGAGAGGTCGTGTCCCCTCGACGCATTGGAGTGGAGCGACCGAGGGCGCGTTTGCTGTAGGTAAGCAGGAGCTATGAGTCGTACTTGCCCAACACAGCATATGGGCTTGGTGATTACACTCAGCAGAAATAGCGCGGCAAGTTCCGTTTCCCTCCGTGTCAGTTCAAGTATGAAGACGACGTCTTGACTAGAGTATGAACAGAAAAGGGTTTTCCCAAAATGGTAAATTCCAGTAAACGAACCTGCCATCTTGTAGCAGCAACTCGGTGGAGGATATACCCCGGCATGCCCTGCTTCGTTTTTGAGCTTGCATTTTTTTTGACCCTCTACGTGAAATTCTTGCATGTCGTTTACATTAGGAGCCTGGTAGCATGCAAGGAAATTGACTTGTCAGTTCTCTCACATACAGCACTGATGCACACACGTATGATTGCCGCTGGCAGATATGATTCTTAGTACAACTCCAAATCCAGTCACACAGGGTGAGCATCAGTCATGACTAGGACGATTTGGCGACGACAGCAGCGTTTTGGTGGTGACTGGGATGTGATGCGTTGGCGCGACCGGATTGTAGCAGCTTGTGAGTCGTAGAATATCAATAGACAGCCGTACAACTACCGATCAAAGGGCCTGCCTCAGACCAAACGCCGGACAGAAAGTAGTTGGGTTGATGAGAGTCATGAACATGTGCATGGTGGCAGCAATATACCAACAGACAGCACGTGCACAACGTCTGACATGCAGCCCAACATGGCTGTAGCGTCTCCTAGGAGAAATAGGTGTATTCTTCTCGTTGCATTGATATTTCGCGCAACATGCAGCAAGTGCGCCGGATCGAGACGTGTGCGAATGGGCTATGGCGATATTTGCCTAGGGGCGTTGGACATGGCCGTTGTGAGCATGTCGGTCTCTCAGTGCTTGCTGAGTGCCCCCTCAGTACCATGGTTTTCGCAAAACGCACACCCACCCGCTCACGACGAGCACAACAGCAAGATTGAACGCAGCACCCCAAAGCTCGGTAGACCGCCTGCCAGAGTTGCAACCATGGCACCCGCAAAAACATGATGCTCGCCTTGCAGAGCTTCGGTGGTCGAGTCGAGAGCGACGCTAATTGGCGCACGGACCACAGCACACACCAGTGGAAATATTCGCTTAGCCAGTTGGTGGTATTGGAATCCGCTGCAACGAGCTCTTTCCTCACGACAACTAACCTCACAGCACACCGGAGTCGAGCAAAATGTCGACCTTCGAACCCGTCATTGTACGTACGCCCCGAATACACGAAGCCGCATATTTCTAGCGTGGGCAGCCGCACCTCGCCGCCGTGCCAGCTCGCGCTCCCGTCAACACCGCGGATATCACATTTCTCTCCATGGAGCCTCTCGCTGACAGCGCACCCAGGTCATCGACGGCAAGGGCCACTTGCTCGGTCGCCTCGCCAGCACCGTCGCCAAGCAGCTCCTCAACGGTCAGAAGATCGTCGTCGTGCGATGTGAGGCTCTTAACATCTCGGGCGAGTTCTTCCGCGCAAAGCGTACGTTCACCCACCGAACACGAGCAGACGACGCAGACAGCAGGCCACGGAGAAAGAATGCAATTGGAAAAAAGGGGGGTAGACACGGGACGTGGAACGGTTGTTGACGTGCATTGTGGCTGCTCTGGCGAAGCGCTCTCGGGACATTCCAAACAAAAAGGCAACAGCTGACAGCATCCTACAGTGAAGTACTCGGCTTTCCTGCGCAAGCAGACCCGTTACAACCCCACCCGTGGTGGTATGTCTTGCCCGTCCATGTGCCGCACGCTTGGTGTCAGGTTCTGAGCGTGTGTGCCATGTCGCCCGCGCCGTGCTAACCCGCTGTCCAGGTCCCTTCCACCTCCGCGCCCCCTCCAAGATGTTCTGGCGAACCGTCCGCGGCATGATTCCCCACAAGACTGCCCGTGGCCAGGCCGCCATGGAGCGCCTCAAGACCTTCGAGGGTGTCCCCGCCCCCTACGACAAGAAGAAGCGCGTCGTCGTCCCCCAGGCCCTGAGGGTACTGAGGCTCAAGCCCGGCCGCAAGTACTGCACTGTTGGCCGTCTCGGCCACGAATTCGGCTGGAAGTACCAAGACGTCGTCGCCCGGTATGTCGCAACGATCGTCACGCACCGTGTCATCCTGCTAACAAATTCTTTCACAGTCTCGAGGAGCGCAGGAAGGTCAAGGGCACCGCGTACTACGAGCGCAAGAAGGCCCTCCGAAGGCAGTTGGCCGAGGCCAAGAAGACGGCCAATGTGGACAGCGCAACCAAGGAGCAGCTTACCGCCCTCGGCTACTAGAAAACGGCAGTTGATGACCAGTGTCGGTTTCAGTGACGTGGTTCGGCGTGGATTGCATTTGGCTCATGGGATGTTTCTTTCCTCTACTATACTCCGACCATACGAAAGGGTGTCCAGGCTAAAAGAGCACATCAATACCAGTGTGCTTACGTGTTCATGGGTCTCTTTGCGGTCGGTCTGCTGTGTCTTCAGGTACTCTTCCGGCTAGAAGCAATACGAAATGAAAAATCACAGCTGATGTAAAGCATGGTGATGGCGTTGAGCGTTCAGCAATTAGACTGGTGGTATATGTGCTTAATCCAACTCGATCCCTTTCTGGCGGTGCATGTCCATTCGGCTGTCTGTCTGTGTATTAACATGCATGTCTCGCACAACCGTGCAAGACGACATACATGCCGAACCATTGTGGTCGGCGGAATGGATCAAGTGGCCGCGCGCCAGGCCAATCGCGCTTAACCTCGGCACTGACGTCGTCCCGCGTAGGATCCCTTCCCCAGATTCCCCCAAAGTCCGGCCCGTTGGCATGGACGCAGCCTGTCGACCGGCCTACTACATGTACTCTACGCATCCAGCTCTGTTGGCGCCTTCTGCTGTACTCAACCGGGAACCATATTATCCTTTCGTGTCCGCTTCGTTCCAAGGGGTATCAAAGTCGAGCCTGCACCCACGCCAATCATTCCATCGACGCGTAAGTTGCCTTTCGGACTTATCTCGCACTTGCACCCGCAGCGGACTGGCTCCGCATCCACGCGTCGATAGCTGCTTCAGCTCACCTTGGCCAGGCTTGTAGATCCACATTGCATCCTGCGTGCATATTAAAGCCTTTCGCGTTCCAATTGCTATCAATCACACATCATTCACCATGGAAAGCGCCAAAGACCGTCTTAAGCAGTTCGCGTCGCACTTTACCTCCGCAAACCCCGTTCCGGGTCCCCTAGCCATCCATCCCGGTGACAGCCATGAATACCACCACCGACACAATTTCCACACACTCAGCCCAACATGGTTTCTCTGGCGAGCCGCGCAGATCGAGCCCGATGCTACGGCAATTTACCACAAGACAGCCAACAACAAGATCTTGCGACGTTCCTATGCGGAAGCTGCGGATCGCGCACGAGGACTGGCATACTACCTGAGAAAGCATGGCTACAAAAGGGTGGGTATACTGGCGACCAATACCCCAGCATTCCTGGAGAGCATATTTGGGATTGCAGCAGCCGGGGCCGTAAGCGTGGCTATCAACTATCGGCTCAAGCATGATGACATTAGCTACATCTTTCAGCACTCGGATGTGGATATGATTATTGTGGACGCGGAGTTTGTGGGCTTGCTCGATGACTACAAAAAGGCAAAGCCGAATGTGCCAATTTTGGTAGACACGGATACCGATGCCACCGAGGGCCAGCTCTCAGGACCCTTTGACGACGCGGTGCTGGAGGGACTGAAGTACGACATTGAACAAGGGGGTAAAGGGTGGGAAAACCTCGAGTCGCAAGCAAAGAACGAAGAGGATGTCATTGCGCTCGCATATACCAGTGGAACTACGGCCAGACCAAAGGGAGTTGAATACACGCATCGCGGCGTCTATCTTGCTGCCATGGGCAACATTATTGAATCCGGCCTCAACTACTACAAAGGCCGCGCAAAGTATCTCTGGACGCTGCCCATGTTCCACGCCACGGGCTGGACATTTCCCTGGTCCATCACCGCCGTTCGCGGCACACATTACTGTCTTCGCAAGATCGATTACCCAGAGATCTGGCGCTTGCTCAAGGAAGAAGGCATTACGCACTTCAACGCCGCACCCACCGTCAACACGCTCCTGTGTGCAGCAAAGGAAGCGGAGCGCTTACCCCAACCCGTGCGCGTGACCGTAGCAGCTTCACCACCCTCAGCCTGGCTCTTTGAACAGATGTCTAACTTGAACCTCAACCCCGTCCACGTCTACGGCTTGACCGAAACATACGGACCCATTACAAAGGGCTACCACATGCCGGAATGGGATACCCTACCTGAAAAGGAAAAGTACAGCCGCATGGCACGCCAGGGCCACGGATTCATTGTAAGCCAGGCGCTGCGCGTTATCAAGCCTGAGCAGCCTGCAGGCGTGTTAATCGACGTGGAACGCGACGGCAAGGAGATTGGCGAAATCATTTTCTCCGGCAACATCTGCGCAAAGGGGTACTACAAAGATGCCGAGGCGACGGAGAAGCTGTGGGAAGGCGGATGGCTGCACACTGGCGATCTCGCTGTCTGGCATGAGGACGGCGCGGTTCAGATTTTGGATCGCGCTAAGGATATTATTATCAGTGGTACGCTGCTCTTTCCTCTTGGCCTGTTTTCTACCCACGAAACATGTGCTGCTTATGTACAATAACTAACCCTCTCTCTTCTTATAGGTGGCGAAAACATATCATCCGTCGCTCTTGAGGCAATGCTCTCTACGCACCCGGCCATTCTGGAAGTCGGCGTCTGCGCAGTGCCCGATTCGCACTGGGGAGAGCGCCCAAAGGCCTTTGTGACGACCAAGGATGGCAGTGCTGACAGCCAGACGCTTGGCGCAGAGGTGATTCAGTGGGCAAAGGAGAACAGCAATATTAGCAGGTTCATGGTGCCAAGGGAAGTTGTTGTTGTCAAGGAACTGCCCAAGACGAGCACGGGCAAGATTCAGAAGAACGTGTTGAGGGAGTGGGCGAAGACGGGCAAGGTGGAGTAAATGGCGGAGGTAGATAGGTACAGACACTGGACATGTGTGGCTAGACTTGATTTGAACGTATGCGATGTTTTGTGTTTTGTAACACTGGTTTGAATACGCAATTGTGCAGAAAAAAGATGTAATTCTTACATTGTAGCATATATATCGAGCTGGGATCTAAGGTATCTAAACCGCGCTAAAGATGATCAAACATATAATGGTGTAAGAAAGAGGTTCTCCCGCACTTTTCCCGACTCTAGTTCTTGAAGAAAAAAAAGTAAAAGAAATACTGCATCTACCTCTTCTTCTCCATCTCCGCCTTCTTAGCAGCAGCCTTTTTGGCCTTCTCCCTCCTGCCCATGGCGGCCTCAGCACCAATGCCACCAAACACAAGTCCAACACCGACCCACTGCATGCTTGTAATCTCGTGTCCAAACCACCAGACGCTCCAGACCATTGTGAGCATCTTCCTGGTCACGGTAACCGTAACCAGCAAGAGACTGCTGAAATGGGCGAGGGTGTGGAAGATGAAAACCTGGCCGATAGCGCCGCACGCGGAAAACATGAGCACGTCCCAGCCGACAGAGGGATACGTAGTGATGAAGTTGAGAGCAGACGAGAGTTCGTCGGTCGCAAGGCCAAGCGAAGCCGCAAGCGGAGTCGACGCAAGCAGAGGCGTGATAAGCAGATACGAGACGGTTAGCGCCGTGGACATGATGTTCTGCGCGCACATCATCTGGGGACCGGTAAAGCCCTTGAATGTGGTGAAGATGTGGTCTTGGACGGTATTCGTGAGGCCGTCGAAGAGCAGGTTCACGCCTAGCAGCACAAGACCGATTGTCTGGGACGCCTCAGCGTTCACAGCACCGCTTTTCTTCGCGGCCTTCTTCGCAGTCGACGGGCTGTACAGCGTAAAGACGGCAACGCCGAGCGTCACGAAGCCGATGACGGCGTATTTATACAGCGGGTACCTCTTCTGAAAGAGCGAGATATGCAGGAACATTACGGGCAGCAGTTTACAGCTCTTAGCGAGGATAAACGTCACGTAGTCGATGTGCTTGAGGCTTGCGTAGCCAAAGGGCGAGGCGAGCGACGAGGTGATGGCGATGCCGAGGAGGGGCACGAGAATGGCGCGCGAGGGGAAGATGGGTAGGACTTTGCGCACGCCCGTCTTGGGGTCCTTGGACGCGGACAGAAAGAGGTATGCGAGACCCGTTATGGCGGCGAAGGCAGACTGCACCGTGTTGAGGAAGATGGAGTAGGTGAAGCGCTCGTTTCGAGGGCCGTGGCTCGTCGTCGTTAGGCGCTCTTGGATCCATGCCCATGTCATGCTGCGATGCGCTCTATCAGCTTCTTCTTCTTCATCTTCGTCGCCAATCGTCGCGCGGCGCCCACGCCCATACTTACAAGCTTCCGTAGATACCAGCGACACAAATGACCAGCTGGAACAACCCCGCTTCTTTCTGCTCTTGCGGATTCCGCGCATGCAGCTCGGCCTGCTCTTCCAGCTTCTGCTCAATCGAGTGCACCGCATCGTCTAGACGGTGATGCGCATTTCCGTTTGCGTGGCCGTTGGTCTCGTTGGCCTTGCGGCGCACTGCTTGTGCCATGCTGAATGCGCTGTGCCGTGGATTTGAGAAGACGGTCGAGCTGAGGAAGTAGACTTGGGGTGTGTGTGTAATAGGGATGTCTTCGGGGAATAAAGGAGTGTATTTATTTAGGCGGCGTGGAAACAAGCGCTCGAGCGACAGCGACAGCGACAAGTAATGAAAAGAAAGCAGAAGAAAAGTAGAGAAAGGCTGTGTCGCGCAGATACAAAAAAAGGCCCGCCAATAACAAGCTACACACACTTGACGCAGAACCAGAGTGACCACCTGTCCCCTTCAGGCCATGCAATTTAATTTCGTCTTGAACATGACGGAAAAGGTTCAACCGTGGCTTCATCCCAGCTTCTCCCGGAGTTAAGACGGAGAACGCTAGAAGAGCGTGTTTCCGTTTTAGGGGTTCAGCTCGCAGAACACGCTAAGCTACATTGGGGTCTATGCGCTCCGCGTTCTCTCCCTTCGTTGCATCAACAGCCAAATGGAGCCCAAATTGCGCCTTTGAGCTTTGAAATACTACGGCCACCGATCCCGCCTCGCAATGGGATATTTCTTCAGAAATCTTACTGAGCGGAATCGACAAGTCCATCTACTTGGGCAACTAATTCCTACAGCTACAGCAGCTGACTAGCAAAACCTTCATCGTTGGGTGGGCCGAGTCTCTTACTACGGCAAATTATATATATAATCTAGCTATTGCCGACTCTGTGTTTTCCGAAATCGCAGCAACAAGAGTACCCCAGGTCTCAATGTTGTCGTCTAGCTCCAGCCCTGTACCGTGCGGTACTTGAGATACATCTCGGAGGAATGGACAGACCTGCCCTCCCATTTCAAGGTGTAGCCAGATGCAACGACTTGGTAACAGTAGTTTTGATGCTGGCCATGATCTCAGACCACTTACTGGTTATATGTCTGCTCAATAATCCAAAATCCATTGATTTTCGCTGATGGACATTTCGCCTGGCTTTTGTAGCTCGGAGCGGCCGCTCTAATCTTGTTATATTTGTAGCCTGTATTCCAGTTCTCACCACTAGTGAGATTACAGCTGAACATGAAACCTAGTATTGCGTTGAGGGTTGAACGTGTGTGTGTTAATATGCAGATTTTATAAGCAGCATCCTGTAACTAAGGCTTGTGAAGCTTATGTAAACTGTCATCACGAAAGTCTTGTAAGATGGCTTGGATACACTAATCGTAATGGGTTGACCCGACTGATTGGTTCTGCATTCTGATTATGAGAAGCTGACTGATGCAAGTGGTACAGATAGCTGCCTCTATTACAGTTGAATAATGGAAGCATCTCAAATGATCACCCGGATTCGCTCTCAATAGTAAAGAGAGAATGCTTGCTCAAGCCGAATTCTGAAGTAAGAAAGCTGTATAGCTCACCAATGAGCAATCTGCTTTCATTCTTCTCTCCAAGGCAGCCACTAGGTGGTGGAACGAAGCAGCTCTTTTGATACAGCTAATCTCGTACGTCTTGGTCGCTAAAATTTCTTTCGTGATAGGTGTCAGCTGGCGTCATTCCTGTAAGCTGTCGGGGCAGGCCTGTCCAAGAGCACACCAATTTGTCGATATAGTGAGATTAACTTTGAATACAAACCATTATTCATCTAACCCACATCCCGGATATTGCTACAAGGCCGACGCGTCAACTCCGCCAGATCCGTTGAGGGAGCGGAAATCCGCCTTACGGGTAACTCCTGCAGCAAACGCCAGGACTTGGGCCAGACATTGCCTCTGATCTAGTAATTCTACGGAGACAACTCGCTCAGTAATTAGTCTGACTTGAAGTAGTAGCATGTCACCCACAGACAGGGCCTGCTTCCACATTGGTGATTCGCGACAGATGATTACGACCGACGCTACCGCTCTAACGAGCCGCGAGCTAAATGCAGCGGTCCGTAGCGGGACCACAGCTCCTCTGCTGTAGTGCAGCCGTTGAGTCCCATCCACTACGCCAAAATACGTGTAGCTGTTCTTACATTCCGCCAGGCGTCACCCCGGCACACCAAGCGTAACGGTCGGCGATCATGCTAAGGGCCTGCGAGATCCTAGCTGCATGTTAGTTGCTCAAGAAAACATGCTGAAGTGTACTTTAAGAAAGAAGTGTTTCGTATGTAGTGCCCTGTTTAGAATCTTCCTATTTGTGCAAGAAGTAACAGTAGTATACTGGGCTTTTACAATGTCGCTAGGTAGTCGCTGGCTCAGAATTCATGCGTATAAGATGGTGTGGTAGAGAAAAAAGATTCGGGGAATGATTTCAGAGATTGGTCATGGTCTTGAAAATAGAGTTGTTCAGAGCCCTTGGAAGCTCCCGCGAGCTTCCGGTAAGACGGCACGGATTTCAACTTCTGCGACAGACGGAATTTTATTATCGTCTGGACGATGCATTGTGGAATGACTTGGGAAGAAAAGCAATTTTCAGGGGAATGCCAATTATTCAAAACCCAAAACTCTCAACAAATAGACATGAATAACAAGGGCAATATTGGTAAAGTACATGTTAGGTCATCTGTAGTGTCTGAAGCATAGCAAGATGCCCATTTCACGAAGTGGTAATATTTTAGTACGCAGCGTATAGAGGGGCAGATTAGTGATACTAAGTGGGCCTAGTCAGACTAGACTATGACTAGGGGGTATTATTTCAATCGATATGCGCTACTCGCGCCACACGCCAACCGGAGGTTGGCGTGTGGCGCGAGTAGCGTGTAAATCATCTGTCTGAGTTGAAGCTCTTTGTTGAAGTACGTCTTAATATAATACATGTTTTTTTTAGGACAAGGAAAATCAGATACATGTTTCACTTTGACACTCGACAATACTATAGCGTTGGCGTGAGTGACGTGCACTAGTAGAGGCCTGGCCTAAGAATCAGAGTCACTTATCCAAGAAAATCTCACCGAGACAAGCCCTTTAGTAAAGCCTAGATCTATTACCCGGCAGTGCATTGCACTATATGTTCTTGGCAATGGTTCCAGTACATGTCATCAATACGATGTGTTGATACGACAAGTCAGTATTTTGCTCATTTAATATCCGAGGGCTACACCGTTCCTAATACTCTTGCTCTCTTCAAGAAGTAGTCTTTTATCCTTGGTAAAAAAATAGCCTTTTTCTCTCTCTACCTGAGACCAAAGGGATAAACACTTTCAAAATGCAATTCCACTTTCTCAACATCCTTGCCGTCGCATTGCCTCTTATGGGCTCTGCATCTGCCTGGGCGAACCTCATATCAAAGTGCGGAGTGAGGCCACCGGATGTACGTCTATCTTTTGGCTGCTGCATCAAAGGCTATGCTGATATGAAGAAACTAGGGAGCCGGGAACTGTGATCCTGTCGACGCGGCCAAGTGCACATCAAATCCAATTATCGCTGGAACTGTAAGTTGAGAAAGCTTATCTAAACGTCTGTTGAGCGGATGAACTGATAGTGGATCAGTGTCCTTACAGCCAATACAAATTCATCTCAGCATGGGCAAGACCTGATAAAGGTTGTGATTGTTATTTTAACTAGTCTGGAAAGAGAAAACAGGTTCAGAAGAGGAGATTGAATAAGAATATCGAGAAACTTCACAGAGATGTTAATGACAAGAGCGCACTGATGGATGCTAAGTTAAAGTTCATGCGACGCGCATTAGCTCCGCGGTTTTGGCGCAATGACTGGTCAATCTAATTCTTCGACCCCTCTGCCTGCTCGCCGCAATAAACTTGCGCCATATTAAATTTCGAAGACAGATTCTTGCTAATAAGCACCGAGTGGGAGACCTATTTTTGATATATAACCTGCGTGAATGTCCTTATGTGTTCAAGCCCTCCCCTCTACCTCTACCTGCTTCTTAGCAACCCCACCCCTGCCTAACTTGTACCTGCTTACCAGTATAGTATAGACTTACAGGCAGGGCGATGGGTATTCGGGACATGATACTGAATGTAACAATAAGGCATCGATTTATGGTATATATAGGGTAGCTAACGAAGAAGCAACTTGAATAGCTTGAGTTAAGACGAAGAACGTCATAACCGGTATGGAGATAGCCCGCTCAGCCCGCTAATCTATATTAGGGCTTTAAGACCTTACATCGACTTTTATCGCAAATTTCCCTGGGCTTGTTTCCACAACCCAACGAGTTTGGGTTGCGTCAAGCGACTGATTAAATGCTTCTTTGATCAATCCTCTTCCAACGCGCCTATCTGCTACCACATTTACATGCGCATAGGTGTGCCGGTTTTGGGCGTTACCGAGCTGCGCTTGGAGATTGACATACGGCACGCCTGTGTCATCTTTTGGTTCTTTAAAACAGCCCTGCGACGTAACTTTAGTAGTTATTTCTTGTTCTTGAGGAATCTGTTTACCTGACGATCGATGGTCGCATGCGTGAGTTCCTCGCTGCCAATTGCATCTTCCAGTTCTGGATTTCTTCGCATATCCTCTCTGGAAATGCTGACGACCTGCGGGGATCCTCCCTGAGAGCTGAGTATATCCTCTTGAAATCCACCCCTGGTGTCGTTGATCATCCATTCCAACACGACGAGCTGGCGGCGGGTTGGTGCAGTGATGTTTCCGTTATCGCCCATTGTAGAAAAATTTTGTCTGCGGCAGTAGAAAGATGATGTCTGCTTCACAGCAACAAGTACGCACATGCAGTATTTATAGCTGTGTAGCTCAGCCTTCTTGAGCAATGACATTGTTCCATAACGTTATGGACGCCACATGATTTGGTGACAGATGACTTCTTTTTGTGGAGGTGGCGGAGCAAAATCAAGCCTAGCTGTAGTCATCACAGCTGAAAGTGGTCATGGGTTAGTTTACGAACTTCCAAAAAAGAACGTTTCATATCCGCTAGCCACTGTTGCCATGTATGTGGACCAAGGCCTGGATGCTCGTGGCGCTCCTAGAATACAGAGATAAGAATTAACCGACTGCTGCATTGAGCATCTCAGCTGGGTCTGTTGGCCACAAGACGCAGCTACGCGCCCTGGTTAGCTACACATTGCTGACTTGCTTTTTGAATGACCAGTAAGAATACCCAAATGAAATATTGAATCAAGTCATGACGCAAGATGTTCCCCGCCCTCAGCTGCTCGGAATCCGCCACATATCAACAAATCAGCTTCTTACAACGTTTCATAGTACTCAATTCTTATGCAAAATGGCTATACGGGTACTCTCCTGTGGTTTCTTTTGTTTCTGCTCTTGTGGCACATGCTGTGGCAATCAAAATAGCCAAGTTATTGGTAGTACAGTACAGCAGTGGCACCTAGTTTTTGAACCTTCAAAACTAACAGCAGAGAATGTTGAAAGTTACAGAAGTTGGATGAAAATCATTTCCCTAAAACCGTAAAGTATCTCCATTCAATAATAACCCCACGCGATAACTGCAGCTGTTCGCGGTTATGATGCTTCTAGGGCCTTTAGGCCAACCATGTAAAGCCCAAAACCAACCTTCTGGTCAATACTAAGAGACCCATACCCAGTACCAGCTTTGATGAGTGAATCCTTGTCTGCGGGAAAGTTGTATTTCATCCAGGTATCGTACTTGTCGATATTTGTTCCCTGATCATATTTGTTCTTCCAATAATAGTTCTCTATGGCCTGTGCCATGGAGTTGTTGTCAGGATCCATCAATGCCTCTAACAAGGTAATTCGTATCTGTTCATGATCCTTCAGGATGTCTCCAGATGGTGGTAGCGCGGTAGATGGCTGATCGATCTTTCGCCAGGCCACAACATCGACGTCCTTTATGAGACCATCCAGAGTTACAAGCCTGTGTTGCTATAGAAATCGTTAATTCCGGAAATTTTGAGTGAATGGGCTTTCTACTTACATTCATGAGTCGCCACATCTTGTAATCCTTAACTGTACTGGCCCAGGCAGGTGGACTTCCCAGAAGTGAGTAATAGTGCGGTTGATCAGGATATAGTGCATACTTACTTCGAACAGAGTAACGTATCTCCTCCACGAGCATTCCAAGTCAAATGCGCGTCCTGGAGAAGCGATGCTACACCAGTCTCGGTAACTGTCGACTCTACCTTGGCGACGTTGATTCCACCGCTGGCTTTTGGTGTTTGAATACTCAAACCTGCAGCTATGCGGGTTCGATCTTTGACCTGCTCCAGCGATGACTGTTCTTTGGAAGAGACATTGCGAGTGCTATGCAAATAGCCACCAAGCGTAAATTTGGTTACGAATATCTTGCCTGATAGATTGGTACATGGTCAGACAAGTAAGATGCAGATAAATCATCGATGAGAAACATACCGTAGGTGCGGAAAAATCGTGCTTGTGAAGCATCATCTGTAATGTGCATCGCATCCGCTCGGCACTCATCTGTTAGTACTAGACATTCCGGGTCGAGTTCCACGACAACACGGGGAAACTAAAGATCTTGTTAGTTTAATGTCAATTTTGATATTGCCATAAAAAACTTGAGCTTACGTTGTATGTAGCGACCAAAGAATCCACGCTGGTACTAGTGGACGTTGAGCTCACAGTGGAGTGCTCCTTCTCAAATGATGCTGTGACAGTGGCTGGAATAGAAGCGGCACCACCTCCACTTTGAATACATGAGTATGTGATAGATTATCTGGTAATTTGATTTGAACGCGACTTACAGGCTTCCGCCAACGGCAACAGAATCAAACCCTTCTTTTATAAGCGTGTGCTGAAACTGGGTTCTGATCTCAACAATGCCAACTGATGCGTCGTCATCGATGTAAAAAGGTGGGATTGCGGGAACCTAATATGTAAATGCCAAAATCTATTTAGGATGATTTTTTGGATTCTTACTTTGACTTGAGTGCTATCAGAACCACTGGTACCAGGTACACCAACTGGGCCAGCGCCACGCAAGTTGAAAGCTTGTCATTTCTTTAGCAAGATGTATGATGGTGGGGGAAACTACCGACCTGGCTTTCTGGCCTTCACGAGTATAGGCCTCGCGTCGTTAGCACCAGACCACTGGTAAAAGTATCCATGTAGAACACGGTTGTTTCTGAACACAGCGTCCCATTGGGTCCCGTCCAAATCTCCTGGCTCAAGGTAGGCTTTGGAGCCCGCGTTAGTAGCATAATTGCCAGACAAAGCTGCCAGGTTCTTGTCAGAGAATGTGGGCAATTTTCCTGGCGCCAGTTCGCCTTTGCTGATCGAATCCAGCATTTTGGATAAACTATCGTTCGTAATTGGCGGCAATGGGATAAGAGGAGCTGTCGCTGTAGCAACATTTGTCACTTGTACCCTGAAGGTTTGAATACCAGGCTCTGCAGCCGCAGGTTTTGAAGCATCAGGTTTTGAAGCATCAGGTTTTGGAGCATCAGGTTTTGGAGCATCGGGCTTTGGAGGCTCAGAGCCCCCAGCAGGCGGGGATGGTTGTGCCTTGTTGGCTTGAAGTATCTTTTGGCCCTGATCTTGTAAGCAAGAATGACTGGCTCGTGCCAAGTGTAAACCTACCTCGGCTTGCAGTGACATATAATATGCCAGTGTAGTGGCATCGTCGACTTTGCTTTTGCCGTCAATGGTGAAGAAAAACTTATCTGGCCTAGAAGCGAGTTTAGCAGAGTAACGAGAGTTGGATTTACTAGATGTTATAGCATACACTGCACTTTTGTTCCGGATCATCGATAGTATGATCTTTGTCACGTCGCCTTGCTCCAGGTCGGAGCTGGGAAAAGATGGGAAGGACGTGCCAACTGGCCCGTCCACCACGATGTGAAATTTAGGTGACGCCATGTTACAGAGAGTGTAATAGAGTTTTCGAGAGTGGAAGGTGACAGCCAGAGAGTATGAATCTTGGACAATGCTGGGGCGGCCTTCAGTACTTGTCGAAAGCCTGAAAACTCATGACGAGGGGTATTTGAACGAGCTCTGGCCCGGCTTAGCTGAACAATGTAACGGCACGCATGCACACTGCCTTCCGTACCCCTGTGCTATGATAGGTATTATGCAGAGATGTCAACAATCAAGCCAAGCCAAGCTCCAGCTTGGCTTGCCTCAGCTTGATAGGCAAAAGCAAAACTGTCAGCTTGGCTTGGCTTGACTCAGCTTGGCTTGGTGTATCAAGCCAGCTTGATTGATGAGCTTGATGAGCTTGATGGTCATAGCGTCTTTTTCAAAGCTAGTTAAGTAGATAATATTAGCTATAGCTACAGCGACTATTCTTGGTGTTGAGTTTCGCTATCACTATTGATATCGCTATCCCACTTACTCAGCTCATACAACGTCTCTATACTATCATCACTTATAGTGACTTTTGAGCTAATATTATCGTTGCCTAAACCAGCTTTACGCCACCGTCGTACGCACTGTATCGCCGCCAAAAGCTGCGGTTGCATGCCTCGTCGGCGAGGCTCTAGTAGATCCCCAAGCTCACTGAACATGCGCTC